GAGCAATTAGACAGACGAAAGAAATTAAAGGCATAAAAATAGGAAAAGAAGAAATTAAATTATCACTATTTGCAGATGATATGATTCTATATCTAGCAGACCCAAAAGGCTCTACAAAGAAACTATTAGAGCTAATAAATGAATTCAGCAAAGTGGCAGGATTTAAAATCAACACGCATAAATCAAAGGCATTCCTGTATATCAGCGACAAATCCTCTGAAATGGAAATGAGGACAACCACTCCATTCAAAATATCTTCAAAAAAAATAAAATACTTGGGAATCAACCTAACAAAAGAGGTGAAAGACTTATACAATGAAAACTACAGAACCCTAAAGAGAGAAATAGAAGAAGATCTTAGAAGATGGAAAAATATACCCTGTTCATGGATAGGCAGAACTAACATCATCAAAATGGCGATATTACCAAAAGTTCTCTATAGGTTTAATGCAATGCCAATCAAAATCCCAATGGCATTTCTTGTAGAAATAGAGAAAGCAATCATGAAATTCATATGGAAAAATAAAAGACCCAGAATAGCAAAAACAATGCTAAGCAAGAAGTGTGAATCAGGCGGTATAGCGATACCAGACTTCAAACTATACTACAGAGCAATAGTAACAAAAACAGCATGGTACTGGTACCAAAACAGGCGTGTGGACCAATGGTACAGAATAGAGGACACAGAAACCAATCCACAAAACTACAACTATCTTATATTTGATAAAGGGGCTAAAAGCATGCAATGGAGGAAGGATAGCATCTTCAACAAATGGTGCTGGGAAAACTGGAAATCCATATGCAACAAAATGAAACTGAATCCCTTTCTCTCGCCATGCACAAAAGTGAATTCAAAATGGATCAAGGAACTTGATATCAAATCAGAGACGCGCCGTCTGATAGAAGAAAAAGTTGGCTACGATCTACAGTCGGTGGGGTCGGGCTCCAAATTCCTCAATAGGACACCCATAGCACAAAAGTTAATAACTAGAATCAACAAATGGGACTTACTCAAACTAAGAAGTTTTTTCTCAGCAAAAGAAACAATAAGAGAGGTAAATAGGGAGCCTACATCCTGGGAACAAATCTTTACTCCTCACACTTCAGATAGAGCCCTAATATCCAGAGTATACAAAGAACTCCAAAAATTAGACAATAAGAGAACAAACAACCCAATCAACAAATGGGCCAAGGACCTGAACAGACACTTCTCAGAGGAGGACATACAGTCAATCAACAAGTACATGAAAAAATGCTCAACATCTCTAGCTGTCAGAGAAATGCAAATCAAAACCACCCTAAGATACCATCTCACTCCAGTAAGATTGGCAGCCATTAGGAAGTCAAACAACAACAAGTGCTGGCGAGGATGTGGGGAAAAGGGTACACTTGTACATTGCTGGTGGGACTGCAGATTGGTGCAGCCAATTTGGAAAGCAGTATGGAGATTTCTTGGAAAGCTGGGAATGGAGCCACCATTTGACCCAGCTATTCCCCTTCTTGGTCTATTCCCTAAAGACCTAAAAAGAGCATGCTACAGGGACACTGCTACATCGATGTTCATAGCAGCACAGTTCACAATAGCAAGACTGTGGAACCAACCTAGATGCCCTTCAATAGACGAATGGATAAAAAAAATGTGGCATTTATACACAATGGAGTATTACTCTGCATTAAAAAATGACAAAATCATAGAATTTACAGGGAAATGGATGGCATTAGAGCAGATTATGCTAAGTGAAGCTAGCCAATCCCTAAAAAACAAATGCCAAATGTCTTCTTTGATATAAGGAAAGTAACTAAGAACAGAGTAGGGACGAAGAACAGGAGAAGAAGATTAACATTTAACAGGGATGAGAGGTGGGAGGGAAAGGGAGAGAGAAGGTAAATTGCACGGTAATGGAAGGAGACCCTCAGGGTTATACAGTGGAGGGGGTAGAGAGAGAGGAGGGGAGGGGAGGGGAGAGGTGGGGAGGGGGGAGGGTGGATGATGGGAAAGGCAGCGGAGCACAACAGACACTAGTATGGCAATTTGTAAATCAATGGATGTGTAACTGATGTGAATCTGCAATCTGTGTATGGGGTGAAGGTGGGAGTTCATAACCCACTAGAATCAAAGTGTGGAATATGATATGTCAAGAAATTTGTAATGTTTTGAACAACCCACAATAAAAAATTTAAAAAAAAAAAAAAAAAATACATTTTGGCAGTGTTTTCTAAGTTTTTAAAAAACCTTGGTACATAGCAAAAACATTTAATATTATTTCACATATCCCCATACATATTTGTAAATATTTATATAAATACATATATACAATTATAATTGAAATCAAAGTTACAATCTTTTTCCATGTGATGTGTTTCAATATGTTCTATTTAATTTTTAAAAAAGTAGGTGTTGACTCTTTAAATTTATGAAAACTAATGGGTTGATTGTAGTTTGAAAAACAGTTCTGGTAAACTTGTACTAATTTATTAAAATAATTTAAATCTCTAAGATGAGATTCTCTTTTAGGATGTGTTTTACTCAGGCTGAAATACCATAGAAAAACATTTGCTATTTGATAAAAGCAGCATCTATTATTTTGGTATAAGTGCAAATATGCTCCAGCAATTTATGCAGAGAAACAAGATAAAACACTAAAACATCTCAACAGCTTTGATCCCCTCCCAACTGGATTTGCTACTATTCAAGTTTTACACTGTTTATTTTGCATTTTACAAGTTGTAGAACTTCAGTCACACAGTTGCTGTTCATTTGTAGTGGCCAGTTTGCTGTGCTCTCAACACTGCTCCTTCTGATCCCTCCCCCTGCTGGTCACATTTATTACTACAAAATGCCAATCCCATTCATGTGTCTTCAGTTGGTAGTCAGGAAGTACAGCTTGTGAACAATTCATTCTCACCACTGCTTCCCCATTTTACTTCTGATCCTTTCATTTCCAGACATCCCTGGGCACCTGATGGATGGGGAGCTGAGGAATTCCATAGATAGTGTGGAGTTGTAGCCATTAGAGATAGTTAAGCCTCCAAGTAAGGCTATATAAGCAATATCCAAAGAATTCAGTTGTATAGAATGCAGAGTTATATAATTAGATGGCTAAAACAAAATGATGGGTTAAGTGAAATGAGGATGGAACTAATCCCTGATTATATCTGAATGTGTGTAATCATGTGGTTTCAACTGAGTTAAAAGCACATTCTCCTAGCCTCAGTAACTTAGTGAAACCCTGTCTCAACAAACAAAAAGGGCTGGGAACGTAGCTCAGTGCTTAAAGGATGTTCAAAATATGAGTGTATCCTGGACTGGACTTTGCAACTTGAGTACAAGCAGAGGATCTGTTTGTCAATACTGCCATGAGCAGAAAGCAGGAGCCTGGGTTGTAGGGGCTAGGGGATTTGGGAGTCCTCAACTGGGATCAAAATCAAGAGTGGAAGGTTGCTAGAATCTTATCTCCTTCACAAATTAGTAGCTGCTAAAGACTCAACATCTGTATTAAATCATAAATTAAATCCTAATCCCTCCAATGAGATAATATTAGGAATTAGGGTGTTCGGGAGAGGATTAAGTCACAAGGATTCTGCATAGTGTCCTTATAAAAGGGTCCCGAGATAGCTGCCTTGCCCCTTCCATGATTTGAGGCTATAGCAAGACGGCTGTCTATGAACCAGGGAGCTAGCCCTCACCACTGACTCTGCCAGCACCTTGAACTTAAAGAATTTCCAGCCTCCACAACTAAGAGAAATAAATTTCTGTTTATAAACTACCCAGCCAATGGCATTTTGTAATAGCAGCTGAACAGTCTTTCACTCTGATTTTTAAGGAACTGAAATTTATATCAGGAAGAGCTAAACAAAAAAGATTATGTCCTGATTACAAGAAGAGAAATATGAGCAAAATTGTCAAGAGAAATTTATTACTAAAAATAAATCAACACAGTTTTTCCAGGGTAACCTGTCACCATAGAAACTTCTATGACAAGATAATATCTTCTTTACTCCTGAACTGCTGCCTTCTTCCATATATTCTAAATTTTAGTTTAAGTTAAAAATCCATCCTGATGAAAATGATGTGGACTCTGATCCCTCTTTGTTTAATCTGAAGATTGAACTGGATTGCACTGTGATGGAGACTTCAGGTGCTGCAGGTGAGTATCCACCAAGGGTCCCTGTGTCAGGAACCCCGGCTGGTAAGATGACACAAAGGCTGCAGGTTGAAGCTCAGGGAGCTCCAAGGATCCTGGAGAAAGCAATTCCTTAAATTCTACTACTGCTTGGGAATCTTAGGAGAGTGTTCAGGCACATAAATAGCCTTTTAATTCCTTAACACCCTTGCATCTATCAGTCCAATTTTTCCCTTGGTTGTAAAATAGGACAGATGTTTACTTTTATCATGAAGAAAACTGAAATAGATGAAGTCGTTTGCCTACATACATATAACCCTATTATGATCTGAATGCCTGAATACCCGACTGATCTTCCCATTTGTGGGAAGCAATCCAAGTAATATCAGTAGGACCAAGGCCATGAGGTGAATTCTTTAACTTCATTTGAAATTTTACTCCCTGTACAGAAGCCTTCCCCTGGTGTTCCACTTAGGTCTTACATAGGCTATAGAATGAGACACTGTAGTAGTCCACAAAGGGTCACTCAGGATGACCACAGGTGCTTCCTGTGACTTTTGTGAGTAATTTGGGAATCCAAGCAGGCCTCATGTTCCCCTCTGACTCAGTACCTTTCATGGTTAGATCAGTGAAAGCTTACATCACTTACTGCCTAGATATATGGAATACTCAATAATGGGTGCAGAGGGGATAGTATGTTCAAACCAGAAAGGAGAAGTTAAAAGATACCTGATAGGTGCTGGTATTGTGGCTCAGTGGTAGAGTGCTTACCTAGCACATGTGAGGCACTAGTTTTGATCCTTACCACCACATATAAATAAATAAAAAGCTATTTTATCCACCTGAAACTAAAAAAAAGAAAAAAGAAAAAAATACCTGGTAGAATGGGATCATTATGCTCTTCATCAAAGGTCTGTCTCTGAAAGGCTTCAAAACTCACAGCTACATCATTCTCTGGCAGTCCCTGGGGTAGCTGCCCCTCTCCAGGTTTGTACACATCAAATTTCACCCACTGGTAACTGTAGGATCAAAGGGAAATCAAAGTTGTCTGCCTCTAATAATCCATTCCTACCTCCGAAGGGATCTTTAGGCCTCTCCTATGTATATCTAAAAATATATTAGCCAAAGGGGGAAAAAAGTAAAATAGGGAGGCTTCTTTAGTGATACATTATTCTGTTAGTCTTCTCATCCTTTTTGCTGTTATAGTACACAAAAAATGATGCAAGTTAAGCATCCCAATTCCAAAATATGAAATACAAAATGCTCCAAAATTTGAGACTTTCTGAGTACCCAGGTAAGACAAGAGTGAAAAATTCCACTCCTATTATGTGACAGGTCACACAGGTACACAAAACATACTGTATAAAACTGCATTCAGACTATGTGTGTAAGGTGCATGTGAAACATAAATGACTTCTATGATTAGGCTTGTGTTCCATCCCCCAAATATCTGTGTGTATGCAGATACTTGAAAACACCTCTGGTCCCAAGAACTTTGGATAAAGGATATTGAACCTGTAATAATTAAGTCCAGGGATTTCTGGCTCTACTCTGCTACCTAGAGGCTAAAAGGGTCAGTGATGAAGCACTCTTATTGAGAAGCAAGTATGCCTTGGACATAGTAGATCAATGTAACTGCTGCTCTAGGTCCTTGGTCAGCTGATTACTGAGGTTCTCTCAACAGAATGAGTTTGACCATACTTACTTGACACATTTTTGAGCTCCTGGACAACTCTGAATCAGGTTGTGAATAGTTGGATGAGAAAATCCAAAAAAGTCAGCTCCAGATGGAAGCAGGTTAGGCATTAATTCCCCCCTAAACAGGAGAGGGAGAAATTTAGCTTCAGAGCTTAGAAGGAGATGGAGATAGGTTTGAGAATGGAAAAGTGACAGGAATACACAGGATGATAAAAGATACTCTGGAAACTCTAGCTATTAGGATGTCTGAAGGATGCAGGTTAGTTTTGTATATTAAAAAGGGATCTCTACACACTGAAAGAAAAGCTCTATAGTGTGGTGAGCCGTGTCTGCAGACCGTTGCCGCCATTAGAAGATGGCGCCGGTCTCCGTTGTGGATCTTGGTAAACAACTCCTTATTTGGGAGAGTTGGCGTGCTGTCCCTCAATACCCTATGAGAAAACCCCGGGTGGCAGCTTTGGATTGGACTTGAGTAAGCTTTATTAGGCTATGCTTGGGCGCTCGGCGGGGGGTCACTAGAAGATGATACATGAAACAAGGCCTGAATAAACTGCTGAAAGAAGAATCCTGTGTCGTGTTTTCCCTTGCTGGCGAGGGGTCGCGACACTATAGGGATCTTTTTAAGCTGTTGGTCAACTTACTTAGTAGCACTTATGGTCCTGAGCAGTTCTGCATGACAAGCATCTGCAGAAGAGCCAACAATAGCATTCTGGGGGTCATCTTCAGGAACGATTTCAAACTGAGAATGACAAAGGAACAATTAATCTGTAAGGAGGAAGTAGAGTCATACCTCTTACAAACATTTCTTCACTTGAAGCTGCTGTATACCATATTAGAATATAGGTTACAGACAATTCCCTATAGTGCTGTTAAAAATTCAAACAAGGGGATGGGGATATAGCTCAGTCGGTAGAGTGCTTACCTTGCATGCACAAGGCCCAGGGTTCAATCCCTAGCTCTACCACACACACACACACACACACACACACACCAAAAAAAAAAAAAAATCAAGTATACAGAAGTCTTCTGTTTCAATTCCACACTTCTTGGTTGACTGCTTTCCAGCAGTCAAAATTTAATTAATTCCATACCTTTTTGGACCCTTTCCTATCCAGCTACTTATATCCTTAAGTACAAATAAAAATGATATTTTAAAAACACTTGGGATCAGTCTCCATGTACACTGCTACATGTTATTCTTTATTCTCATTTGCACATTTCTCTAGGAAACATGAGATTACCTAGAAGTATTCTGGGTCAAAGGACATATGCATTAAAATTGTTGATATTGCCAAGTTACCCTCCAAAAAGATTACCAGTTTTCATTCTGACTAATGTATACATACTTATTTTCCTATACCCTGGCCAAGACTGGATATTACTAAAGTCTGATATGTACCTAAAGGCAAAAATAAGGTGTGACTTCCTCCTTACTTGATTGTTTATTTTTATATTATTCTATAGGAGTACTGTATCTGGACATCAATCCCATGGTGTACATGTTCTTCCTGTTTGTTTCTTAACTCTGTGGTATCTTTTTTTCCAAAGCACTTGAGAATTTTTTTTTTTTTTTTTTTTTTTTTTTGTGGTACTGGGGATCAAACCCAGGGCCCTGTGCATGCCAAAGCATTTAAATTTTTAAAAGTTGACTCTGTTATTATTTTCCTTTATAGCTTCTGTGTTTCCATCTCTTGCTAAAGGAACATTTTGACCTTACTTTAAGACTAAAAATGTTCTTTTACACTTTCCTTTAACATATTTATAGCATAAAACATACTTAAGTAACTGAAAATCTTATTGGGGCTAGCCATGGTGGTGTATGTCTGTAATCACAGCTATTTAGAGGCTGAGGCAGGAGGACTACAAATTTCAGGCCTGCCTCAGCAACTTAGCAAGCTCCTGTCTCAAATTGAAAAGGCTAGGAATTTAGGTCAGATGTCGAGTACCCCTGGGTTCAATCTTCAATACCAAACACAAACACACATACACCTCTAGTCATATTGGCATGTATTGACAAACAGATCAATGAAATAACATCATCTGTAAACAACCAAGTATTTTATGTATTTAATTTGTATCCTGAAGTAACTTTTTTTTTTTGGGGGGGGAGGTAGGGGGGATTGAACTCAGGGGGACTCGACCACTGAGACACATTCCCAGCCCTATTTTGTATTTTATTTAGAGACAGGGTCTCACTGAGTTACTTAGTGCCTCACTTTTGCTGAGGTTGGCTTTTAATTCGCAATCCTTCTGCCTCACCCTGAGCTGCTGGGATTGCAGATGTGTGCCACCGCACCTGGCCTGAAGTCAATGTTGGTTGGGCAGAAAAAATTAAAGCTAGATTTAGTTCACAATAACCTAAAAATAATGTCTGATTGAGGTTAGTGATCTTAAAAACTAAAAATCTCACATTTTATTTTTAGAAAATGTTTTAGTGTTTTATCTTTTGGTGGAAGACTACTCAGCTTATCAATTTTTACTAAAAATTCAATTAGAATTTTGATTAAGATTTGCATTGCACTTACAGATTTGTTATAAACAGGATACACTGTTACAACAGTGGATCTCTGTGCTACTTTCTGAAGAGAATTGCTGCATGACCAAGGTTACTTGAACTCTTCTACTTTCACCTATCAGTGTCAGATGACAGGAGCGATACAATATTACCCACGTGCATCAGGCAGGCTCAGGATTCTAGAACCTTTTGCTCATATTAGAGGTAGGTTGCCTCTAACCTCCTTCCATACAATTTTCTAGTGATCTATAACCTCATCTGACAGTGAAGCCTGGAACTCTGAAAATGATCTATTCTTCCCAAATATGAAGAGGTAACAGATGGGGAAAGTGAGCTGCATTACATTTTAGCACTAAGAAGGATGAAGAATGGTATGAGGGGTCAGGAGTCCCAGGTCCTTAAGAGTATATGCAGCCATATGCTATGTCCACTTTGGTTCAATCTGAAATGGTGGTGTATCACACTAATCTTCCCTGTATCTGAGCCTGCACTTAATATAAGCAGGCTTGATCAAACCTCACGTGGTGACCAAGTAGTGTGGTTCAATGGAAAAGCATTAATCGAGAATCAGACAAATACAGATTCATATCCCAGTTTAACCACTTATTAGCAGAGATATGACTTAGGGCCAGTTACTTCTCTGGTATCTTGGGGCTATCCAAATGGTGATTATATAGTATCCACTTTGTAAAGTGTCAGAATTGGGACACTTATTAAGTGCCTGGAACACAGAAAGGTCTTAAAAAAAGAAAAGAAAAATAGAGGTTATATTTGATCGAGTACCTGAGGCTGCACACCACCATCCTTGATCTGACAGGTATACAGACACTTCTGGTCTGGGCACTTCATGCTGGCATACACCCGAGTACTGCAATAACCCACAGGGTAGATGGCATTCTCATCATGGAAGCCAGGTCGGTCGGTGATGATCTATAAAAAAGATTTCCCCAACCTGGGATTGAGGTCACTGAGGATTTAGAAGTTGTGTTTATGGAGGTAGTCTTTAGAACCACTTTGGGTTATAAAGAATGACTGAAATCACATAGAGAATAGAGAAAGTGTTGGCTGTGTAGCAGACAAATCTGACCTGGTTTCATAGGGATTGGAGATTTTCTGGGGTTGGTATGGATCAGCAAGGGGCTGCTAATGGGAACCAGGAGGGAAGGCTCAACCCCATTCCCAGATTTTTCTGATTCTCCTCTCTATATGTTGCTGGTCTCACTCACCTCCCCCAGGCTATATACTGTTAGACCCCCTAGTCCGATGGGGAACACAGGCCGTCCTGAGGGATCCAGGGCAATGGGCTGAACCAGCTTGCGAGCACCTCCCTCCATTTTCTTTTTCTTGGATGTTTTCTTCAGAACTGAAACGCAAATCTGGGGTCACCCACTTTAGGCCCCTCCCAAAAGCTGAGGGAAAGGGAAAAATTTATACATGGAATGCTAAGGGTAATAAGTCAGCCTTGGTATTATATAAGATGCTCCTTGACTCAGGATGGGGTTATGTACTGATAAACCCATCGTAAGCTGAACAAAGGATAAACTGAAAATGCATAAAATTAACCTAACTTACCAAATATCATGGCTTAGCAATACAGCACAGTGTGGTATATCAGGTGTTTCCTTTTATGATTGTGTAGCTGACTGGAGCTGTGGCTTGCTGCCACTGCCTAGCATGGAACTAGAGCATCACACTATACATATTGCTATTCTCGGAAAAGATCAAAATTCAAAGTATAGTTTCTACTAAATGCATATTGCCTTCACATCCTGTAAAATTGAAAAATCATTAAGCTGAACCACTGTAAGTCTGGGACCATCTATATTCACTGAATTCACTACTTCCCCCCTTTCCCAAAGCCTTGAATATCTTTCTAATGTGCCCCTAGATGGTAACCAATTTTAATATTAGTGCTTAGGAGCTAAAGCATTACATTTTTAAGTCTTCTTCATTTGTAAAATCAGAAATTTCTCAAGCTAGTAGTGTGCTCAAAAGGCCACCTAGCCCACTTCCCTGCCTCTCAGAAAGACTGAAGCAAATGTAACCCTGAGAGCTGGGGGAAGAGGGAAAGAGGGGGTCTCAGTCTGCTCCCTTAGACATTTAACCAGGTCTAACAAGAATCTATTCATCCAAGGTGGCTCTAATAAGATACTTACTTCTCAAGGGACTTTAAAAAGTGTTTATGTGGCCATATGTCTACCAGTCAGTAACAGGTCTGTCATCAGTAGCTAAGCCACGGGAGCAACTGATAACACAATGTACCTTCCAGTTTGCTGTTCTCTTTGCCTTTTTCTTTTTTCTCCTTCTTGGATTTCTTCCCAAATGGTTCCTCTGCCCCAGTGCTGGGCCCAGAAATGGGTCCAGCTCCCTGTATAGTTCCCACAGAGCTGGCCACACCATAAGTCTGGGGCAAACTGGAGCTGTGGGAAGGAGCTGCAGCCTGTATTTCTCCTTCAGTTAGAGCCTGAAGTTGAAGGAGCTTCTTTAGCAAGTACCTGAGGTTGGGAAGGAAAGGGAGCAGAGGTATGAACTTCCATTTTGTCTCAATTCAATACTTCACTCAAACACCAGAAAAAGCCAGAATTATATACAAAGATTATCACACTCATAAAAATAAGATTCATATTGAACTCTCAAAATAACAAAGTCCCAGAAGATAATCAATACTTCAAGAAACAAGGATAAGATTGTAGCTTTTCTCTCTTGTATCTGGAGGACTCCTCTATCTTAAAGTTGGAAAGTGTCAGGTGTCTGAAGGGCATATACCATCAGTCGGATGTATATATATTCATTGTGCTTTGTATAGAGAAGTAAAGATTGAACAAATATTTGCAGAATATTATCCCTTGGCTATTTGGGAGTTATAATAAGATTACTTATTAGATGGCAAGAAGACTCAGAAAGATGAGTAGAGGAGTTGTCTCATCATCATGGTCCAACATGACTTCAAGGTTTGGGAACCAGTTCCACAGATTTTTTTTCTCTATACTTGATCAAGCAGTCAAGGGGTTGTGCAGTACATAAAAATCCAACAGGAGAAAATTCCCAAGAGCAATTACTCTATGTTAATCACAAAAAATGTGATTCTGAACACAAAATGAAGTCAGCTCACCTTCTTTCTTCTTTTGCTTTAAGAAATTTTTCCTCAAGACGAGCAATTTCATCACAAATAGCAGCATTTTCCTTTAAAAAAAAATTTAAACACAATAAAATAAAATAAATAAGAGGTTAAATCATTGTTCTGGGAACAGTATCCATATTTCAAACCAAGGACTGTTGTTGCTGGATAAGAAGAGCTATTCTATGTTCCAGACAAGCTATAAATAAATCTCTACGGAAAGTCAGGTTCTATTATAGGTAGGGTAATTATATATTACCCACACTGAGACACCTTTGAGTGAAAAGGGGCCACTATTAATAATACAAGAACAATATGGTAAAGTAGGACTGTCCCTGGTAAACCAAGACAGATGGCCACGTTAATTAGAATAACTATTAGCAGAGAAAATGGCATACTAAATAAATTCATACTATTACATAATTATGAGAACTATGTCTGGGAGCTTTGGTTTTTGAGAGACAAAGAAAATCTAACTCAAAGCATCCCATAATTATACCCTAAAGTGACAAACTGGAATGAAGTCAAATCTAGTGTTTAAAATTCCTAAACTTTATAATATATTTGTATATATTCCAGTGCCATCTTTCCAATGACTCAATCTCTTAAGCACCAATTGTGAAGGAAATGTTCCATTCCAGATGTCCCACAGATGGAACCTCCAAGTTTGAAAGTTCAAAGCAGTATCCTTTTTCTTCACACAACCTCCTTCATGACTTTGGCATATGGGGGATAAAAGAAACAATCAGATGTCAAGTTCTCTTAACTTTAATTTTCTTATTTTTATCCAATGCACAGAGAAAATGCTGAATGAATATTTTTGGAAGGAGTATTCTAATTTACGAACTCTTATGCTTCCAAGAATGCTAAGAGTTGTTTAAGCTTTTGGTAGAATGAAGGGATAAACTATTGATTCAGATGTGAGGGAACATTCGAGGACTCCACCCCTATTTCCAGGCATAAAGGCAAATCAGAATGTTGTAACACAAAGTTATATCAGACAAACCAGTTTATTCATTTAATAAACTTTATACCCCGACGATAAAGAAAGGCAGGAGCAGAAGGCATGATGTATGAGTGGGAGTTAAGAAACACCTAGGAGACTCAAAGTGGCTTACAAGACAGAAATTATTGAAAGGTTCATGTGCCTGTTTAGTTAAGGGATCAGTTATGGGACAGTGGGGGTACCTGGGAAATATGTTGTGTAGTGGAATTTATAAAGCGGAATTGATTTAAGCTGGAGTGAAGGCTCTGACACAGTGCCCTTGGGCAAATCGTCCCTGAGCTTCAGGGTTCAACAGTGCCTAATTCTCAGGCATTTCTGAGCGTTCTGCAGTAATAACGATAATGATTAAATAAAATTTATTGGCAGACCTTCTGAGTACCAAGCAATTTTTAATTTAATCTCCAGTAGGGTAACTAGCTTTCATTTACAGACGAGAAAACAGGATGAGGAAAATTATGTATTTTATCCAAGGAGTAACAAGTAGTAACGTATACTGAAAAGCTAACATTGTCACTCTGGGAGGGGAATCAGCCTGGGGAAAGATTTCACTAGGAAGCAAAGTTTCGAGGCGGAGGCGGGCTGAATGACCGTCAGACTCACAAACACCGTGGCCTTGGCCGCTTTTCGCAGCCGCAGGTACTTCAGCCGGTACTTCTCGTTCTGGCTCTTCTTCGGGAGCTTTTTCATCCTGGCCTTGCTGGAGTGCAGCGGGGCCAGCGGCGACGAGGCCAGGCAGACCAGAGGCTCATGGTCTGGCCCCACTACGGGGACTCCAGGATGAGGCCGACATCAGCTCCGAGGCCTACTGGCGGGGAAGAGCGCGGGCTTTGTCTGCTCTAGTCTGGCGAAATAGGGCCTGCACGATACTAGCTCTACAGGATGTCCTCAAGGAGGACTACAGGGTCACAAACTTTCCAGCAGAACCGGCAGCCGGCGCTTTCTAACACTTCCGCGTCTATCTCGGAAGTAAGCCCCGCCGGAAGTTGCGTAATGACGCCGGCTGCGTGTAATTTCCTGGGCGGGAGCTCAAGGTGCTCCCGCGAGGCAGATTCTGGGACTGTGAGGAGCGGAGCGCAGTTTTGTGGAGGGTGTGGGACGTGGAGCGCTGGAAGGGGCGGCGGCGTTAAAGGACAGTCGGTGACGCTGTGTCTTAGCGCGTAGCGGAGGAAAACTATTGCTGAGTTACGGCGCGAGTAAATAAAAACCTATCATCGTGAACTCTAGGTCGCGCTTTCCCAGGCCACTGCCTTTCAACACCTGTTTTTCATATTTCATTCTGACCCGCCTTCTTGGGTTGTAGGAAATAACCTGGACGCAAGTGCTGGGACTGCTTCTTTATGCAGTTCTCAAACATGTTTCCTATGTTCTGATTTTCCTAGAGCTAAGACCACGGTAAATAGAAACACTTGGCTCTTTCATAGTTTTGAATCTAGTGGGGAAGGTGAAAGATTTTTCTTTTGTTTTTTTGAGGGTTTGCCAGTTCGTTATTTTTATTTATGGAAGATTTAACTAGCAGTTTTAATACTAGCACAAAGTAGGCACTTATTAGATGTTTTCTTAATGAAAGTGTGTTTCTGAACATATCCTTTCATAGTTCTAACTTGATAACCATGCTCTATGTGAAATTACCAAATAAGGAAGATATAGTGTACAAAACTATCAAGTGCCTAAGGCCAAATGGCAGGATTACATTCTTTTAGCAGTGCCGCTAACTAATTGAGTGAGTCACTGGTTCATAGTTGTTTTTGTCTTATAACAATATATCTAAAATTATGAGGTGATTGGGATTTCTAATCTGTACTGATAAAAAGTATAATTACCGTTCAACATTTGAAATGTATATTTCTAGAATCAAATATGGAAATTCAGGAAAATATGTTACATAGTTAATAAGTTAGCTGAAATTACTAGAGAAAAATGTTATAACACTAATATGAATAACATAACCAGAAGTCAATAAAAGGTATAGAATTGATTCATTTCCGAAAATTGTAAAAATGGTGACAGAATCTTGCTTCCACAATGATTTAGTATAAAGCTTATGGAAGTTTTTTTTTTTTTTTCATCCATGTTGTAAGTTGCCCTTGTTGGACTTGACTGGGTGTTAACAAGACAGCTCAAAAGTACCTAACAAGGCCATGTACATTCAGTTTTGGCAACTTCCAGGACCATTTCCAGCTCACAAAATACCCAAATTATGCCTTTTAATAATATATACAGGAATTTTACCTTGGAACCTGAAAATAGCCTCAGTAAAAGAAAAAGACTTTTTTTTTTCTTTTAAAAATTCATATTTGCTAACTCTGTAGTTTATTTGCTGTCCTGCTGTGTTTGTCCCTGTAGGCTTTCAGATCTGACTTTATTTGTATCATTCATCTTCTACAGGTATCTTACTTATCCAGTGGGAAGGGAAGTGCCATCCTTTTCTTAGTTTGCAGGCTTCTCTGACCAATGGACTTCAATGGAATTAGTTTAAAAATGTTTATTGTATCTTCTTCATTACAACTTTATTTTTTTACAATTCTAAAACACTTCTTGCAAATTTTAGAAATTTAAAGTAGAAATGTAGAAATTTAAAAATTAAAAACAAGGAGGATTAAAAACAAAATTTATGGGACTGGGAATGTAGCTCAATATTAGTTCTCTTGCCTAGCATTCAGGGGCCCTGGAGTTGATCCCCAGCTCTTCAAAGGAAAAAAAAAATCATTCTGGAGGCTTGATCACATAATTCAAGTTAAAATTTTGATTCGCAGCACTGCAAAACAACAAATACAAACGTACACAAACTAAATTTATAATGCTGCAACTTATGGAAAACTACTCCTAACGTGTTAATTTTTTTCATGAATTTTTATGTAGGTTAGACCATACTAAATGCTAGGTTTTCTTTTTGCTCATTTACTGTGATTATCATTATTTTACAGTGTTATGACTTCTTCATAAATATAATTTATTTTTTTCCCAGTGCTGGGGATTGAACCTAGGGCCTTGCACATATAGGTAAGTGCTTTAGTACTGAGCTACATCCTTAGCCCTGTAAGCATAATTTTAAGTGGCTAGTCAATATTACAGTGTGTCTGTATTCTATTTTCCATAAGTATTTTGCTGTTCTTTGACTGTTTGGTTAATTGCTGTGAATTGCATCTTTGTGCACAGGATTTTTTCCATTCAAAGGCTGGATTTGCATGCTGCAAAGAATGTGGTGCTACTGAGCATTCTTTTACTAATTTGTGTAGAAGAATTTTTATTTTATGACCCAACCTTTAGCAAACTTAAGGCAAGTGAATTGGCGATATTAATACAATGTAGTAAATTTATTTCAGAGGTAGGTTTTGTTTGATATGGCAGCACCCAGTAAGGAAAGAAGGGATTAAACAGGAAGGTTTTTTGAAGGAAATGTGTCCAGGTACACTCTGAAGGAGAAGTAGTGGTTGGCTTAGTGAAGAACAGAGGAAGGTCTCCCAGGCAGTGGAGACAATATATTAAAAAACTGAGCATCAGGAAAAGCCCAGGAACTGCAAGTGGCTGATACAAGTGAAAGCTGTATGGGAAGCAAGAGGAGAGACTGAAGTAGTGGGCAGGTTTTAGATCATGAAAGGCTTTGTGTAGCAACTGAAGAGGTGGATTTCTTAATGACAATAGAAAGTCATTAATGAATGTCTGTACATCATCAGTGTTTGCTTTTTAAAGGTAATTTAAGTTAGAAGCAACATAGCTTTTTTACTTATATGAAGAAAGGAGGGTCCATGCAATGATTTTTCTGAAGAAGTGATAATATGCAGCTTTAAAAAGAAATATAAAATGTGAGACATCATTGTATTGTGGGCTGAATACCATGGAACTGGATCAAGGATCCATTAAATCCAGACATAGAATTTGGAGTTAGGTATAAGGATGGATTGATGAATAAGAGAAGGAGAGGAGGGGCTCAATAGTACTTTACTGTTTATCCTGTGTAGTTCTAAATGGTTGCTATTTAGTGGCTGTATGTGAAGGTATAGTAGCCCATAATCCCAGTCCTTGGTGAAACGAGTCCTTGATTTCGATGATGAAAAGTGTATCTAGACATTTCAAGACTTTTCTTATGGCTATGCATGGTCCTGCCTCTCTTGTCTTAAACTCTAAGACCAGATTATAAATTGAAGCCATCATTGTCTCTTGGATTATTTTACAGACCACAAAGGGCCTGGTAAGGCTGATGAATTCCCCAAAGCAGTCTGGGCAGATTCCTAGGATTTTAGGCCACACCAAAGAGTTTCACATCTTTATTAATCTCTTACCAGATTGCTCTACTTTCTCTCTTGGGGGAAGTCCACGTATGCATCCTAGAAGGTCTATGGAGTGAATATAGTAAGGAGAACTAGTCTTTATAAATAGCCTTTAGAATCTAATTTTTTAGTTCTTTGACTCTTCAGTTCCAGCTTTCACATTTGTTTCTGTATATTGATTTTATCTTCTTAACAGATAAAGGTTATGTAAGTCAGGTGAATCCAAGCTTGGCAATGCTAAAGTAGATATTTTTTTGTGTGTGTATTGCTGTATGTGACTTTTAAAGATGGTGAAAGACTTTTGCTTTCCACAGAATTTCTCATTGCGTGGTTTCTTTATAAACTATCTATGGATGTTCATCACACATCTGTTGGGTGAGATGTTTGGGTTTTGAGGGTTCTAAGCCAGCCAGTAACGTCATGAAATCGACCACTGTGTCAATGTTATGCTTCTGGATGGTTGTGTCCTTCAACACACATAAGACACTCAACCAGCTAAAAGAGATGAGCTCAGAGATGTTGGCTCGGAGGAAAAGAAGAATTACATTGAGGTCATTGATTGGGCATCCCAGCATCTTTCTGCTGAGGAGATCAAAAGCTGGGAGCATCTCATATACAGATAGGAGTCGTTTGTCCCACTGACACAGCCGTGTGAAGTTGTATATTATCACAGGAACCAATAAGGTGTATATTGCTGCACTGGAGAGGCTGACAATCTGAAAAATGGATAGGGAGGTCAGCCTGCATGTAATCAGGTCAGGAACATGGGTTTCATCATGTAGTAACCCTGCCTTGATGGAGCAGCTGAATTCTTCTTGGAAGAAGACATCCAGATGAAAGTGGCCAAGGTACAGGTATGTGGCTGAGGTAAAGAGGAGCAAAAGGGAGTTCCTCAGGAGGTAGGTGGCCACTAGTGAATGTGAGCGCTGCTTACATGCCAGGTACCGCTCTAGTAGGGGGAATTCAAAGTATCGTTCTTTTCGGGCCCTGCACAGGGAAAGAAAGGAGGAAAGTTAGGAAGCACCATATGTAGAACCATATCCCAAGAGTCATGTGGGAAACTAACAAATATGTGCATTCATTATGGAATTCTTGGTTAATTGAAGATCTGCTTTCCCCAAGCATAACCATGATTCTTCTCCCAAAAGATGTAAGTATAACTCATTTCTCCAAGTACTGAGTACAATGTGATAAACCTGGGGGATGATTGATGAATAATGAACGATCACTTTGGATTTTTGCCCAGCAAGTCATGCACTAAAGCTGTAAGCAGAAATAGGACCCTTTGGAAGCAATAGGCTAATAAAATTAGCACTGGATTGGGAGTCTAAATGTGTTCTAGATCTTGGCTGTGTACTCTCTGTATGGTTTTTGGACCAGTTCATTTATTTTATACAAATGAGTGTGCTGACAAGTATTTGTTGAGAATTGTGGTGTTCAGGTAGGTAAACCAGTCTCTGTTCCAAAGAAGCTTAGAGTCTTGTTGTGAGGGAAGGAGTAGACAAAACATGCAAATATTCAATGAAATTAACACTTGATATGTTGCTAAATTGATTGATACAAACCATAGTCATTACAAAAGTTAGGAGATGGAGTAACAGTGCAGGTTGGAATGTGCAGAAAACTTTACAAGAGAATATTGGCTTAAAGCTGGGCTTCAAAAGATAGAGGGGAACTTTTTAGAGAGTATATAGTGTGTGCATAAATGTGAAACAATATGATTTCAAATCATGGCTCAATTATGGTCACTCTATTTAAAGCTACTGTTAATTGTTCAGCTTTCCAGAACCCCTTCCCCTGTTTTACTTTTTCTTCATACTAGTTATCATCCCCTAATGTATTTTACTGGTGTGTTCTACTTTTTGTCTGTTTTCCCTCTAGTAAATATAAGCTCCACATGAATAATGATAGCTTTGTTGCCCCCCCCCCCACCATGTATCCAAAGCACCCAGTATAGTCTCTGATACTCAGATGTATGAATAATGCACTAAATAAATGATTTTTTTTTCCAGTGGAAAAGAGGGAGACTGCTTAGGTAGAGTGAAAGGTTTCTGTCATCTGGTTGAGTATCCCTTATTTAAAATGCTTGGGACCAGAAGTGTTTCAGATTTTGAAGTTTTTCAGGTTTGAGAATATTTGCATAGATTTTACTAAAAATACTCAAAAACTTTTCGATTTTGACCATTATGGATATTGGATTTTTGGGTTTGAAATACTCAATGTATAGTTAGTTAGATGCTTGAAAAAGTAGTTGGATATGTTGAAGCAAATATTTAGGAGATTTTGGGTAGTTTTGGTAGATCTGGGAGGAGCTATTTAAGGTTTCTGAGAAGAGGAATAGTGTATAGAAGTGGGTATTTTAGAGAGATTAATCCCTTTGTGGCTCAGAGTGTTCATCTGTAAACTGCAGGTAGCAGGCCTTTCTCCTCTCTCTTTACAGGAATGACAGTTCATGAGATGATGGTAACTTTGCTCCCTTAAGAAAGATAACATAGAGGACATTTTAAAGATTATGGTGCATGGGTACCATTTTATGCTTAACTGCATTCTTCAAGAAAAGACTGAAAAAACAACTCACTTTTCCAGTTCATCCCAGAAGACAAGCGGGTCAGAGCTCTTCTGCCGGATCTTCAACATGTGCTGCACCAGGCGGATGGAACGATTATAGGATTTGTCTAGTTCGCTGATGATGAACAGCAGATCTGAGCTGAGGGCTGGAACAGCTGCATACTGCCACAGCAGTACTGGCAGGTACATGGCCATGGCCAGGGCCAGAAGGGAGTAGGGGAGGGCCTGTAGGACAAAAGTTGGCTGAGCAGGTGGCTCAGGGTGTTGAGCCTTGAGTGACCGTACTAAGTGAGGGCTTTTTTCTCCCAGTTCCTATTTCAGAAGGGGAAGACAGCATGGAAAGTGGGCCACCTAAGGCTCTCTATCAATATGAAAGAATATAATGAGGTCCAGTAGGAAAGGGACGGCAGATCTTCCTGTTCCCCACATTCATATAGTTTTTCTGATCTGTGGTCTATCTAGGGCTCCAGGGGAAGAGAAAGAGCGAGAATGAGAGGGCGTGGGATATGTGTGTGTATGTGTATCTCTATCTCCCTTCTTGTTCCCTCGCAAATGTGTTGGGGTGAGTAGATGGCCTGAGGTTACAGCCAACAGTGCCATGTCAACAATGGCCATAGCCATGTCATTTCTTCCATGTAGCCTTCCCTGACTTCTGTAATGTACACTGGTATTTTCGCATCTTTGCAATTTTTGGTAATGCCAAATTACACCATCAGAAACCATCTTGGAATTCTTTTGGGGTTCTTTCATGTATATAGATCTGTGAACTGACTTTCAGAAATGCATAAGCCTTGTCTCTTTAACTATACTATTAGCTACATGGGATAGGAGACTGAGATGGGTTGAATTGTATTTATGTCTCCCTCCCCAATATGTGGGCATTTCAATCCTTAGAACCTCCGCATGAAATCATATTTGGAAGTATGGTTGTTGCAGATATAATTAGATAATTTAAAATAAGATTAAACTGGAATAGGGTAGGCTCCTCATCCGTTATGACTGATGTTTTTTACGTACACACATACATCATGTGAAGAGGTGCACACAGGGAGAACACCCAAGGTGATGAATCTATAAGCCAAAGAGAAGGGCCTTGAAGATCCATTCTTCACAACCCTCAGAGGATCCAATCCTACTGACACCTTGATTTTAGACTTTTGACTACTAAAACTATGAGACAGTACATTTCTGTCCTGTAAGCCAAAGTTTGTGGTACTTTATTATAGCAGCATTAACAAACTATAATGAGAACTTTTCCTTAGATTTCTTCATCATACTTAAACCTGAAACTGGGTTGGGCCTACTATTTTGCTCACAGAAAATTCTCTACTTGTAAAGGTTTCTAAGGTCATGTTTTTGGTAGGCACTTAGCATTCATTATTTTATTTGCTTTTCACAAAGATGCTATCAGGTAGGTATGATTAGTATCTTTTTTTTTTTTTTTTAACAGATAAAGGAACTGAAGTATGAGAAGATTAAGTGCTTGTACAGGGTTACATACCCAGGAGGGGTGACAGGATTTATAGCTGGGCTGGGTGATTTGGGAGCATATTCCCTTAATGACTACTTGACCAATACCTTCTCCTAATCTAGGGATGTTTTTTCCTTTTAGAAGAGAGTTTGGAGAGAAAAAAGGAGGGTATGGATTTGATTGCATCTCTGTGTGTGTGCGTGCCCTTGCTTTCTGAACTAAGGAAGGAAGGTTAGGAATATGAGGATACAAGAGAAAGAATCTTTTCACTCCTGTCCAAGAAATAACTTTCCTTGAAACTAAGCTCTTTACCTTTGTGGAGTGTTTCTATAGGTTTGAGGTGGAGTTGGAGGATCTGGGTTTAGAGAATTTCCCATTGACTTTGATGATCAGGTATCTGATTTTTTCTTGACTTGTAAATCCCCTCTGTGACATCTTGAACTTGTTACCATCTAATTTCTGCTTGAACTGCCAGTGGCAGAGGCCTTCTGGTCTCTCTCCATTGTCTCTATCCTTCTATCCTAGAAGTATGGTATTTGGAGGCCTTGTTAGTGATCATCACTAAGAAATCACTACCCTTGAATGACTTTTGACGAAACATGGTGAACTGAACAGACATGTTACCATTGTTCCCTCATAAAACCCATTAACAGCTGGAAATGGAAGCACACGCCTATAATCCCAGTGGCTCTAGAGGCTGAGGCAAGAGGATCGCAAGTTCAAGGCCAGCCTCAGCAATTTAGTGAGACCCTGCCTTAAAATAAAACATAAAAAGGACTGGGGATGTCAGTCAGTGATAAAGTACCTCCAGGTTCAATCCCTAGTACAATAAATAAATAAATAAAACAAACCCACTAGCATGACAATAAAATATTAAAAAGAAAGACAAGATTTTAAAGGACAAAGAGAATTGGAGACGCTGGACACATGGCTGTAATCCCAATGACTCAGGCGGTTGAGGTGGGAGGATCACAAGTTTGAGGCCAGCCTGGGCAAGTTAGCAAAATCCTGTCTCAAAATAAAAAATAAAATGGACCAGAGACGTGAATGGTAGAACTCCCCTAGGTGCAAGTCCTTAGTACCAGGAGAGGAAACAAACAAACAAATAAGCAAACAAAAACAAAACAGGAGAGGAGATGAGGAACAGAATATTGGAAAGCTAGAAATCAGAAGACACCAGCATGTGGGGAGAGTGGGGAGTTGAGGCAGGGACAAGAGAGCTATTTGTACCTCAGATCCAGAAAGGAATTGGAGATATGGAAGAACTTGAGCAATGAGCATGTAGGAGGGCTAATAGCAGAAAATTGAAAAATCTGTGTTGAGAAATAGACCAGAAGTTCTTTTCTGTAATGTTATGCATTCTGGCAACCAACCTGGCCCTTCCTGACAGGATAGAAGTTTACTGTGTAGAAATTAAACGAGATTAAACTCTGTATTTGAGCTTACTGAGGGCAGAGGAACCATACTGAGAATGGGGGATCAGCTGAATGAATACTGAGTAGTGAGTTCCCAGAGTGCTGACAACCAGGCTTAAAACCAATTGCGCCCTGCCCATCCCCACAGTTTAAGAACTGAATGACTCGTCTCAGAGAGTAGTGATCAGCCCAAGAAAAGGATAAAAGATATTTGAGTTTTTTTTTTTTCCCTCAATGGAATAGACCCAAGGGATCACCTTCAGCTAAAGGCTGCTTGTCGACAAGCTTCACCCACTGGTACAAGGCATCCAGTCAGATAAAAGTGGGCAGCTGAAGATCAGCAGAATTTGAAGAATGCGTGAACATGAAAGTCAGCCACTGGGGCAAGATGGGGGAAGGAGGTGAGAAGGAATATAATGATAACACCTCTCTCTCCTGCCACCTTGCTCTGAAGCCAGGAATGACAGTCTCTGTCTGCTTTACCTTGTGGGGCCAGAGAGATTTTATCTTGTACCGGCCAGCCTCATCCTGTTCATGGTGAACCAGGGAGTCCCAACAGGAACTGTCCACATATGCAGCCTGCCGGACACTGAAGTTACTTGGAGAAAAGCAGCTGATTGGAGACCCTGGAATAAGAATACAACTTTGAGGCAGCATTGAGTTGGAAATGGGAATGCGAATTTGAAGGGGCCACTGTCTAAGGGTTTTGTAGAGGTCACCTTCACAACTCTGAATTTATGTGTGTGGCCGACACTATCTTCCCATGCTCTAGTTTTCTGGGGTTGGCACTGCTGTGTCTTGGGAGGACAGGGCATGACAGGATAGCTCCCTATTGTTTGGCTTTTGCCTGTCAGTGTACTGTCTCAGCCTGGTCTGATTATTCTTTTCTCTCAAATTCCCCCACCAGACTTGCAGTGTGATGGTGGTATCTCCTTCCTGAAAAAGCTGACATTGTTTAGATTGTAAAACATAGAGGATTAATTACCTGAACTTCTGAACCCAAAGAGAAAGGACAGGCAATTGGTACTAGAAGGAAAGTAGGCTTGGGGGAGAGTCTCTTATTTTTTGTTTTTCCATCATTCTCTAGAAAGAGGCAGAGCTGGGAGCCAATACCTTTCCCCTTCTTCTGGATGTAGGCACACTTCACTGGGAAATGTAATAAGCAAATGGAATGGCCAAAAAAGAAAGCCAGAAGTCCCAGTTCTCAGGAAATCCATATGCTTTTTAATAGAGGTAGTGGATTTGTGGGTAAATTCAGTACCTAAAACACCATAAACATGTGTATGTTAGTTTCTCTGTGTGTGACTGGGGTTTTTGGAGAAAGCAGTAGGTTTTTTTTAGCACCTCTGAATGTGGCTGTGTCCGGCCCTTAATATATATTCTCAAATCAATAACATTGGAGGTGGATGTGTGGAGAAGGCTCAGAGGAAATAAGACACTTGTCAACAACATGGCTGATTAGGTGCTGAAAAGATTATAAGGCCCCAACCTCTATTATCTATATGCAAACTAAAGTAAAATATTAATTATGAAAGTGATACAAAACATAAGAATACTGAAATCATGACTAATTATTTCTTATTGTAAAATGTCAGAGGCGATTTTTAAATTTTTGGTGCCTCTGCTTTGCTGGTGTCCTAAACTCATGCATGGTCTGTCCTTTAGGTAATCTGGCCCAGCCCAAAGTCATGAAACCTAGTCAATATGGGAGCCATTTATCTTCAGAGCTCATGCAAAGAATACATTGAAGTGGGGTCTCTCACTGGCTCTTGGAAACAACTTACCAGAGGAGAACTCTTGGGCAAAAGCCAGAGACATCAGCAATAAGGGGAAGCCCACAGCAACAAACTTGATCATCTGGTCCATGGGCAGTTCCAGGCGCAGTCCTTTCAGGCGGGAGCCCTTTCGGTCAGGCAGCAAGGCATCAGAGAGCATATACTCTGCAGCTGTGTGTGCCAGAGACATGATGCTATGAGATAAGGTGTTCAAGTGGGCCAAGGTGTCCCAGGTTAGTAGAATGAGGAGGTAACAGCTTTAGGCAGCTGGCTTTGAGCAGACAGTGCTGCAGCCCCAGCCTCGTGGATATCTGTGCTTGGAGCAGGCGATGTTTCTCTAAATAACTGTCTAAGCCCTGAGCCAGGCACCCTGGTAATTAGAGGGGGGCGTAGCCTCAGTAGGTCCTTGCTGGAGGAGGGTCGGGTATCACTTGTGGTTGGTGCCAGGCTGCTGTCTTTGGATTGTCTCTGAGTAGATCAAGCCTAGTGGCTTTATGCTGCCCTTTCATTAATAAAGTATTTTCAGCGGGGTGGTGAAGAGAGGAGAGCTATGGAGCTGGGCCCCCATGTAATTGGTGTGGTATTTGGGTGGGGATTGCTTAAATGTGTTAAAGGCCATAATTTTGTGGTTAGGGTGGGAATGGAGCCCCCAGGACTCAGTTATGATTTCTACCTCTATAAAGCAGTCTTTGTCCCAGTGATGAATTTTGCTCAGGGCCCAGGCTCTTTCCTAGAAGCTGCTCTGTGTTTGGTGTTAAATTTCCTTCCCTACTCTGGGCTTCTTCCAAAACATTTCAACCATGTATTTAAAATTTCCAATTCCATTTTAGCCCTGTAAGTTCTCTAGACAATTGGGGGATACATGGCAGTGATGAATAATAGAAAGAGTATGACCTTTGAAGATTGGAAGGAAAAGTCTTTCTGTGGAGACTAGCAGTGCTCACTTTTTAATTTAATCTTAATTTTGGGCAAGTCACTTTGTCTCAGTTTTCTCATTTCTCAAGTGGAAGTATGTTAGAATCTTACAAGATTGTGGGGGAACTGATTAAGATCATTATATGTGAAGGTTCACAATAGATTGTAAAGTATAGGGCAAGTGCTGTGGTTTGGATAGGTGACCCTCAAAGGCCCATGTGTTAAAGGTTTGTTCATTAGCCTGTGGTGCTACTGAGAGGTAGTGGAACCTTTTTAGAAATAAAGCCTAGTGGAAGGAGGTTAGGTCACTGGAGTATGTCCTTGAAGGGAATATTGGGACCCCAGCCACTTCCTGTTTCTCCCTTTTGCTTCCTGGCTGCCATGAGGTGAGCAATTTCTTCCCTACACTCCTGTCATGATGAACTGTGCTGCTACAGGCAAAAAGCAGCAGGGGCAAATGACAATGGACTAAAACCTCAGAAACCATGAACTGAAATAAACTTTTCCCCTTATTAAGATGCTTATCTTAGGTATTTTGTCACAGTGATGGAAGGCAGAGTAATATAGCAAATGTCAACTGCTCAATTTGGTGAGTTTGGGTGGGAGAATAGGGCACTCTTGTCTCTACTATTGCTCTTCAGCTTGGGCCTTTGGCTATGTCCTTCCTATGAGGCAAGGAGTTCATGAGCTTATGCAGAACCTATGCAATATCTAAACCTCTCTTCTAGTGCAGTTGACTCTGTAATTCATGCCCATATGGCTTCAGCCTAGTTTCAGCACCTGTGTGAACCTTTTCCTCTCATGCAGCCTTTTCAAGGGAAGATTGTACTGCTGGTGTACACCCTCAGGCCTAAGGATTGGATGAATACAGAAGTTTGGATGGAATTTAGAAGTACTGAGGTGTCCATATGTGCACTTGTGAGGTTTTCTGCAAAGTGAGACTTAGCCAGGATTAGAAGAGAAGAGGATTGGGCCAGGGATCTGGAAGAGTGTGAAGATTCTAAATTTGAACCTGGCATTCCTGATCATTATGGTATGTGTGTGTTTGTGTGTGTGTGTGTGTGTGTGTGTGTGTGTGTGTTTGAGTATGTATGTATGTATGTAGGTAAGTAGGCAGGCAGGCAGGTGGAACATACTTTACTCAACAGCTTGGTTTAAAACTTCTCATGTTTTAGATATATGGTATATGGGTCTCTATTTGAATTTTTTTCCTGGTCCCACAAATGAGTAGGCTGGGCCTGCCTCTCTTCCCATTCCACAGGATAGAGGCCAACTCTGATTCAGAGTTGCTGCATGTGTACTAAATGAAATGATCCAGGTATGGGAATAGCAGAAGAAATCCTTTATTTCTATTCTCCATTACCCTCTCTACATTCTCATTTCTATATCTTTTAATTATGTGTTTTTGTCTAATGCTTATTGTTAGTTTATATGCATGTATATTTTTTTGCTTTTTAAAAATACTTATGTATTTTTGAAGTGTAATATAGAATCATTAAAATGCACATATAATAAATGTGAAGTTCAATCTATTTTCATCTGATCAAGAAACAGAATATTATTAGCATCCCAGAAACCCCCTCTGTGCACCTTCCTAATAATTACCATTTCCCAAAAGGTAATCATTATCTTAACTTTAAATAGCATAGATTTTTGCCTTTTTAAAATAAAATTATCTATGTATACTCTTTGGTACCTGGCTTGTTTTGCTATATACATTGTATTTATGAGAATCATCCATTTTGTTGCCTGTTTTTGAACTTTATATGCAAGGATTTATATACATGTATTTTTTGTGTTTGAATTTTCTGTCTAAATTATTTTTGAGATACATCTGTGCCACTGTATGTATCAGAAATGCTTTCGTTTTTATTGTATATACAACAGTTTGTTTATATATTCACCAATTGATGGATATTTGGGTTTCTGGATTCTCGATATTATAAAATAATATTGCTTTGTGAACATTCTCAGGTGTTTTATGGTGAATACATGTATGTCTTTATGTAAGGTACATACTGAGGAGGATTGCTGGATCATAACACAATGCATATGTTTATAGTTTTCCAAGTGGTTACATCATTGTACACTTTCACCAACAGTTTATGAGGGTTCCAGTTACTCCACATCCTTGGCATTACTTTTTTTAATTAAAAAATTTTTTTAGTCATTTTTTTGAGCTGGGGATGTGGCTCAAGCAGTAGTGCGCTCACCTGGCATGCGTGTGGCCCGGGTTCGATCCTCAGCACCACATACAAACAAAGATGTTGTGTCCGCGGAAAACTAAAAAATAAATATTAAAAAATTCTCTCTCTCTCAAAAAAAACTTTTTTTAGTCATTTTAGAAGGTGTGTTAGTCAACTTTCATTGCTCTGACCAAATACCTGAGAAAAGCAGCTTAAGGGAGGAAATATTTATTTTGACTTATGCTTTCAGAGATTCATAGTCAGGTGGCTCCATTGCTTTGGATGACAGAAGGGAGGAGGGATAGAAAGGGAGGTAGGGGAGAGGGGGCAGAACGAGGGGGAAGGAGAAGAGAGGAAGCTGGTATAACATATACTCTTCCGAATATGCTCCCAGTGACCTACATTCTCCAACTTGATAATCATCATCTATAATTTTCACCACCTCCTAATAGTCCATTAAATTATGAACTCATTAATGGAATAATCCATTTATAAGATTAGAGTCCTTGTGAGACGTTTATTTCCAAAAGCCCCACCTCTAAACATTGCTGGAGTGGAGACCAAGCCTTCTATACATGAGCCTTTGGGGGGCATTCCAGATCTAAACTATAGCAAAAAGTGTGTATAAGCAGTGTATTGTGGCTTTAATTTGAATTTCTCTGATGACTAATGAAATTGGCTATTTGGACTTTTGAACATCTTTTATTTTTCAATCTTATTTATTTAAAAATAAACAATATATACTTTATATATTTTTTAGTTGTTGATGGACCTTTATTTTATTCATTTATTTAAATGTGGTGCTAAGAATTGAATCCACTGCATCACACATATGAGGCAAGCTATAACACTGAGCTACAACCCCAGCCCTAAAAATAAATGATATTTTTACATACCATATTAAAATGTGTATGGTATGGCCAGACAATGGAATTAAACAGATTAATGGAAATGATTAGACTAGAGGTATGGTAACATGGATAATTCTAAAAAAAATATTGAGCAAAACAACAAAAAAAGAAAGTTGCAGGGTATTTCTAGTAGAGTCATTTTTATAAACTTTTAAACATGCTAAAAAACAATGATATATATGTCTACATCTCTATATCTCCATATCCTATATATGGATATCATCTTTTATTAAGTATATGTTCAAGTCTTTTATCTGTTTTTCTTTTGCTTATTGATTTGTGGGAATCCTTTTAATATTGTGGCTATGAGGCTCCCTCTCATTGGTTACCTTTTGTCCCTCTGCATTGGTTACCTTTCATCCTCTTCATGGTGTTTATTGTGTTTCTAGAAGTTAGTGTATTATTTGTTTTTATTTATGAATAGTGCTTTAAGTATTCTACTTAAGAAATCTTTATTCCAATATTCAATAAGTTTCTTTTAAAATATTTTGTTTTATATTTCTCACTTAGGCCTGAATTCATCTAGAATTGTTTTTTTTAACGAATGAGATGGAGGTGAAGGCACAGAATTTTCCGTGTGTGACTCAGCTCAATTTATTGAAAAGATGATCCGTTGCTTGTGGTAATGTACTTTTATTATTGCCATAAATCAGAATACTATCTTCTAGTTAACAGTTTGTCTTTTGGTGCTACTATTACTACATAGCTTTAACTACTGTAGCTTTATAAAAGGTCTGTAATATAAATCTCTCAGTTTTGTTTTTTTCAAGATTGCTGTGGATATTCTTGACATTTTGCATTTCTATATGAACTCATCGATTTCAGGGGGAAAACCTGCCAGAATTTTTTATTAGAACTTTTAAATCTATAGCTTAATTTGGTAAAATTGAGATCCTTACACCTCAAAGCTTTCGAATCCATGAATGTAACATATCCCTCCCTTTGTTGAGTTCTTAAATTTTTATTCATTGAAATTTTTAGTTTTCAGTGGATTTCTACACATCTTCTGTTGAATTTATATTGCTAGATATTTAATATTTATTGATATTTTTGCTAACTGAATCTTTAAAACTATTTGATTTTCTAATTGTCTATAGTATATGGAGATAAAACTGACTTTTATATAATGATTTTGTTTTTGACAAACCTGTTACATTTATTTATTGATTCTAATGTATATTCATTTGGATTTTCTATCTATATAATTATATCATCTATTAAAAATCAGTTTTTCTCTTTCTAATCTATATGTCTTTATTTTTCTTGCTTTATTGCATTGATTAGGATCTCTAATACAATACTGAATGTAAATGTGACAGTGGATATCTTGACTTGTTCCTTAGGAAGAAAGTTTATAACATTTCACTATGGAGTTAGGATGTTTATTGTAGGCTTGACTGGGCTGCAGTATGTATTTTGAAACTCAATCAGTGGTTATTGGCTTAGAGTCTCTTCATAGGGTGCCATGGCAACTGATTTTTCCAGTGCAGGTAATCTGTCAAAGAGAGAGAGACAAACACACACACACACACCAGCTAGCCATAATGCCTCTTGTGACCTGATCTCTGAAATTGCAATTGCTACTTCTGTTTTTTTTTCTTTTTCACTAGGAGGAAATCATTATTTCTGGCCCACTTGCAAGGGAAAGTAAATGTGCTCTATATTTTGAAGAAGTATCAAATAATTTGGGTACTATTTTAAGCCACTATGTTATGTAAGTGAGATTTTTTTTGAAGAAGTTGTCTACTTTTAAATGCAAATGTCAAATTTATTGAAATACCATCATTAATAATATCCCCTTATATCAATATTTTAGTTTGTGGTTTAAATAAACAACAAAGTTGAAAATTTACAGTGAACACCTGTAATTTGTAGTTCTATCATTAGCATTGTACTTGGCTTCCTTTGTTATTCGTTTGTCCACCCCTTCATCTACTCATCAATCCATTCTTTTTTAAAAAAAAATTTATTTGTTCTGCTTAGATAAACATTACAGTAGAGTATATTTCACATATTGTACATACATGGAGTGTAATTTAGGATACTGTTCTTGTGATTGTACACGATGGGGAGTTACACTTGTAGACGTAAATGCTCTTCTCCCTAAATATTTCTGCGTGTATGCAATTAACTATATTTCTGCATTCTTACAGTCTATGTTGTTAGAGGTAAAATTTATATATAGTAAAATGCACAAAGTTTAAGTATGCATGCATGGAGTTTGAAAAATGTATACACCTGTGTAATCTGTACTCCATTAAGGTTAGTGCATTATTATCATTCAAGAAAATTTCATTTGATTTTTTTGTGGAGATCCCAGTTTTCTGGTGAAAATATCCATACTTCAAATTCACCCACCTTTTATTTTCTTGATTTTACTAATCAGAGTTATTTAAAAATCTCTATCATAGACTCCAAATCTGGAATATTCTATTTGCTTTTACTGTTTACTTCATGTCTTCATTATTGGTCATTATTGTAGTCTGGATCTGGGAAGTTTCCCAAGACCCATGTGTTAAAGTCTTAGTCCTCAGCCTGCTACTATTAGGAAGTAGCAGAAGCTAAGAGGTGGTACTTAGTGAGAGGTCTTAAGTCATTTGGGGTGTGTCCCTTCAAGGAGATTGTGGGACCCTAGACTTTTCCTCTTTCTCTCTCTCTTTTGCTTTCCAGCCACGAGGTAGGCAATTTTCTTTGCTACACACTCCCACCATGATGTGTTGCCACAGGCCCACAGTAGTGGGGCAGGGGGGTGTCAATTGATTATGGTCTGAAACCTCTAAAACTGTGAGCCAAGGCAAACTTTTCTCTTCATAAATTATTTCAGGTATTTCTTACAGTAACAGAAGGTTGACTAATATAATCATATACTTTTAACTCTTTATACATGGAGTAATTATGTGTTATATACCAAATATTGTGTATGAAACATATGGTTCTTTGGTTTTTAGATAATGCTATCTTTCACCAAAGGTGGTTCTCCTTCCTTCTGTTAGGCATCAGGAATGAGAACTGATCACAATTCAATCAGGAACTGAACATGATTAGACTTGTATTGGAGTTCTAGTAAGATTCAGTCTATATTAGTTTTTATCATTTCTAAACTTGACCTTTCCAGATGTTTTATTGAGTTAGTTAAACTGTTGTCTCTTAACTTTCAAAAGACTTAGAAGTTTTATTATCTTCTCTGGAGGATTTCCATTTAGCTCTTTATTTTTCTACCTCAGGTAGCTTCAAAATATGACAAATGTTTTGAAGGGGAGACTAGGTCAGAAAGTATATATCACTGATATTAATGCAAGTCCCTCAAAAAATATCTTTGTTTCCTAAGCACCACAGGGTATAGGTATAGGAGATTTCACTTAGCATTTTTAGAAGCTTTTGTTCTAGTCCTCAGTCCATACAACTCCAGCATTCAGCAAATGTCCTATGGGTAAAACTGGCCATGTGTTTGAAGTCCCTCAAGTTTCCAAATGTCACACCACTCCTTTAATAACCTTTGAAAGCTTTGATGGCTCATTTATCCCCAACAGATGCTCTGTGCTTGGACCAAGGCCCATGACAAGTTGGTGGTCAGATGCAGAAGATTCCTGTAGGTTAAAAGTTCCTGGAGATTGTCATTTTGCCTCAGCATGGTTCTGTCCTCTCAGAAATTTCCCTTTATCTCACTCTTATTTCTTCCATAGCTTCCTGATAGCCACAAAATACAATTTTTATAATTAATATATTTTTTTCTATTTGTTGCTTCAGGAGCATTTACCTGCCCTACTGTACTGCACTTTACTCAAAAGTCTGTGCTTTATAATTTTAATATACATAAGTGCTGTTCTGTTTTATATCTCATTTTTTTCTTAGTTTTGAAACCTTAGCATTGTCCCTCTAAAGTCAATCCCTGTTGCTACGTCCATAGCTAATTTGTTGTTTCCACTACTGTATTACACTTAACCTACTCAGTCGTATATTGACAGACACTCATTTTGCTCCTACTCCTTGTATCGTAATCAATGTAAATTTCCTCTTATGGTCTCATAAGAGAATTTAGTTGATATACCCCTCTAGGAATAGAATATCTAGGGATACTGATCTAAAATAGTATTATTTTAATTTAAATTTCTGTTAATTAATTGAATATCTCTTATATGTGTCTTAACCATTTATTTCTACTAACTATTTAACATACTTTAAAACTTGACAACTTCAAACAGTGAACATTTATGATTTTCCAGTTTCTGTGGATCAGGAGTTTGATAGCAACTTGGCTAGGTTGCTCAGAATTGCTTACAGAGTTGTGTTCAAGAGATTGGCTTTGTTCATTGAAGGCTTGGCTAGGTTTGCAAGATTCAAATCCCAGATAGTTCACTCACATGATTTTTGGCAGAAGGGTTCAGTGTGGCAGGAGGCCTTTCTTTCTTGCTGCATGCCCCTTTCCATAGTTGTGATTGAGAGTTCTCACTATAAGGCATATGGCTTTTTCTGAAGTGAGCAATCCAAGAGAAAACAAGGCAGAAGCATTAAAAATCTCAGTCTATAGAAGAATCACAGAGATGCTGTTGAAGACTTTGGATTTGCCCTTTGTGAAACTGATGAAGAAGATGCTGAAGAAAAAAGGTATAGGAAATAAGTACTTTAATCTAGTGACTACAATATTCAATTGAGCCATGAAGAACTTTGTCATATTAATATCATATATGCTAGTGCATGAGAAAAGGAATGGCTGATGAGTTGATGAGTAACTCAGAAAAGTATATCTTTTTTAAAGAATTAATTTTTTTAGTTATAGATGGACAAAATACCTTTATTTTGTTTATTTATTTTTTTATGTGGTGCTGAGTATCAATCCCAGTGCCTCACACATGCTAGGCGAGCGCTGTACCACTGAGCCACAACCCCAGCACCAGAAAAGTATAGTTTTAATACAAGTTGTTGAACTACTCAATCCCATTATAAATTCCACAACAATTGGAAGGGAGCCGACTTGATGAAATGACAGCAGCTGTTGGTCAGCATGTAATGCACAGCCATGACAAATATAAGGATATAGAGCTGTGATATGTAGTCTTCAACACAAAGTTGTGTTTTTCTCTAATATAAAGTTCATCAGTATTTTAGGAGTAATAATAAAACAGTTAACAGAGGTCCACAAATAATCAATTTCTGATGAAGTAGTACATAGAGGTATGGAGCTGATAAGAAAAATAAAATGATCAAGGTTTCCCACTATGATGCTCAAATAGATTGTTCCTCAAAAAAGAGGAGCTTGGAAGCCTGCTTGCCTTGTTTCTGGGAATGCAGTCTGTAGAGTAATATTCTGCTTTCATTCTCCTTTAGGTTAGAGGCCTCTCCAGGTACAAGCATATCCCCCTTGGGACTGTTTTCTGTGTTTCACTTATTTTATTTACTACTAACATTTTCTAGAAGTCAGGCTTGCTAGGGAGTATTTCAGAGATGAGGATGATTAGAGGAAGTGGGCAGCAACTGGAGTTTATACTACCTATAACCAGCTCACATATTTAGAGATAATTTTTTTGTGTGTTTCTTGGTTTTGTGAACATATATTTTGCTTTAGTGATTCCTTCTCATATAGGTAATCTTACAATTTTTATCAGAATGTAATAATGTAAAATAAACATTATCGCAAATCTGTGTAGCGTGATTATAGTTATTCTACTTACTGTTCTACTTAATAGTTATTCTACTTGCTTACTTCTTTTATCAAAAGAAGACTAAAAATACCTTAAAGTGTTAGCTGTGCATGAACATATTTTATTCCCCTCCAATGCTCAGTTGCTATAGAAATGTAAGTTGTCCTTAGGCATCTGTAAATCACCTTTGGTTTTTCTCTCTATATAAAGTTCTGTGACCTAATGCAGCAAGTGTCCTTTCACTTCTAGGGGGTTAGTTAGCATCTCTATCAGAGGGAAATAGATAGAGTGAGAACATGATGTGCTGGTTCCTGAGAAAGCATTTCAAAAAGGAGCACAAGGCTGTGGGTATACCTTAGTGATAGAATGAGTGCTTTGCATGTACTGGGTTTGATCCCTAACACCAAGAAAAAAATGAGTACACAATTTTGCACCCAGATAGGTCATATGTGTTAGTATTGATGAAACTTGGATAATTTAATTTTGATGCACATAGGTATAAATGTTAAAAGACCATGGAGGAATTGTTGTAGGTGCTTCTAGGCTATGTTTGCACAATATCATCAAAGAAAAAGGAAAAGAATAAAGAACAAAGGATCATATACATCCACAAAAACATTAATGTTATTTCAGTTATGTATTTATGAAAGATTGTGTATGTGTTTTGGGTGTAGAAAATGAAAGAAAATACAAAAAGAAGCAAGAGGTCACATTGTATATTCATGCCAATAACTAGGTTTGCTTTGCATATGAAATTGGATATAATAAATTGGTAGTTGGGCTCAAGTCCTAGGATTGCTGAAAAGCCAGTCATTGTGATTCTAGATAGGAAACAGTGTTCTGCTAGAGAAGAATCAGATTATATCAACTGAGAATTTTGTAGCTTAAAAAATTGGGCATATTATACTTGGAATATAGTTTGTTTTTAGTAAAATAAGGGAGCAGAGGAAAACAAGATGAGATCTATTGCTGCTCCTTCCTGTGTTCAGAGAAGCTCAGGAAAATTCACATTAGGTCAGGATTAAAGGTAGGCAAAACTGGAAATAGAATAGAGCACTCTCACAGATCAAAAGTAAAATGACTTGATTTGGGGATTGGATCTCTCTCCTATATGTTTCCTTTATGCTGGAATTCAAAAAGTTTGTTCTTGACTTCTTACATGTTAGTTTTCCACTAAAAGTTTCAATCACTCTTTTTTTTTTGAGAGAGAGAGAGAGAGAGAGAATTTTTAATATTTATTTATTTTTTTAGTTTTTGTCGGACACAACATCTTTGTTTGTATGTGGTGCTGAGGATCGAACCCAGGCCGCACGCATGCCAGGCAAGCGTGCTACCGCTTGAGCCACATCCCCAGCCCTCAATCACTCTTATTGCTTCATAATTTTATATTTTATGCTTTGATTCCCAAATCACTATTTACTTGGTTTCATTTTTAGTGTTAACCTATGGTCAAGGCAAAAAGTCTTGCAATTGATGGTAATTATGTTGATACCCAAGAGGATTGTTGGGAAGTCTTGGGACATTTCAAACAAAAAGGCAGAGTAAAATCTGATCTTATAAAGCAATTGCTTTTTTTTTTTTTTGTACTGGGGATTGAACTCAGGGGCACTGAACCACTGAACCACATCCCCAGCCTTTTTTTTTTTCTTTTTTTTTTGTGGTGCTGGGGATTGAACCCAGGACCTTATGCGTGTGAGGCAAGCACTCTACCAACTAAGCTATACTCCCAGCCCTAAAGCAATTGCTTTTAAAGCTACAAAACTTTTGGAAGAAAACACTGGGAGAACTTTTCATGACCTTGGATTTGGCAATGGATTTTTAGATTTGACTCTAAATATGTAATCAACAAATGTGAAAATAGATGTTAGACATTTCTCCAAAGAAAAAAATATGAAAAGAGGCTCAATATCATTAGCTATCAGGGAATTACAAAATTAACTCATAATGAGACACACCACTTCACATCTAGTAGGAAGGTTGTAAAAAAGATGGGCAATAAGTGTTGATTAGGATATGGGGAAATTGAAACCCTTATACTTCAATATTGAAGTGTAATTCCCATATCTTTACATTTATCAATTTATAAACTATATAATTCAATGGTTTTAAGTAGGTTCTCTGAGTTTTTTGTAACCGTCACCACAATCAATTTTACCCAAGAAAGAAACTCTATAACCATCAGCTGTCATTCCCAATTTCTCCCCCAATAAACAACTATCTGCCTCCTTCACCCTGCCCCCAAACCCCAGATCCAGGAAATCACTTATTTATTTATTTATCTCTATATGTCCCATTCTGGCCTTCTTCCTTCTTATCAAATTGTTATTATATATCCTTTGGCTAACATCTTCCAATTCTCTTTGCCCTAACCACCAAGCCTTTAATAACTGCCATTCTACTTTGCCTTTTTATGAGTTAGGGTTCCATGTATGAGATCATGTGGTATTTGTCTTTCTGTTTCTAGCTTATTTCACTTGATATAATGTCCTCCAGTTTCATCCATGTTGTAAATGCCAGGATTTTGTTCTTTTTAATGTTGAATAATATTCCATTACACACACACACACACACACACACAATTTTGTTTATGCAGTTATCCATTGATGGACTGCTAGGTTGATCCCATGTCTTGGCTATAGTGAATAGTGCTGCAATAAATGTGGGAGTGTGGATATTCCTTCCAACACATTGATTTTATTTTATTTGGATATATACCCAGTGGTGGGATTGAAACTCTATTTTTAGTATTTTGAGCAACTGCCATGATGTTTTCTCTCTCTAATGACTTCAAATTTATATTTCTGCCAACAGTGTATAAGTGTATAAGGATGTATAAGGATGGAACTTGTACACATGGTGCAGCCATAGAGAAGTTTGGCAGTTACTCAACAAGTTAAATTTAGTGATTTCATGTGACCTAAAATAAAATACAGTAATATTACTGTATGTTAGAAGTACTCTAAAAATATACAAAAGCAGTATATATTCATGTAAAATGATAATATGCAGATAAGAAAAAAAAAGGGAAACTAAAAACACCATACTTCCTTAACCAATGATTATCATTCCTTACTACTTAATGTCTATCTTTCTACATATTTTTCTATGGATTCATATGCCTTTTTTTCCCAAAAGTGAGAGCATACTATATATACTTCTGGTATTTTTTTAGTGTTGCATTTTAAAATACATGGTTTCATTTGATTTCATCGAACTCCCTCATACCCAAGCCATTAACTATATCTGCCCTGTGTTCCTTTTTCTTAGGAATAGGAAAGTCTCCAAACTTCAGGTTGTAGTAGTAAAGACAAGGAAATCTACGTTGCATCATAAACTTTATACCTTTAATCATGGTGCCAGTAATGGAATCATTAATAACCCCAACTCTTTGGGTTGTAATATTATTATCCTTATGTTAAGATAAGAGATTTGAAGTTCAGAGGTTAAGTTAATCATCTAGGGCTGAGCTAGAATTTGTATCAGGATCAATCTGATTCCAGTTTTTGTCTGAGTACTTAGTGGGACCATATAACTTGTCATTCAGCTGAGATATAGATGGGGAAAAAGTCATGGAAGGATGCTTTTAGAGTGATGTCAGCGAAAATGGCGGAGTAGGGGACTCTAAAAGCTCGCCTCTCCTCCATCCATAGAAGCAACAAATAAACTGGAAAAAAATGTTTGTAATTAACTTTCTTAGAACTTTGGGACTAAAAACTTTGCAGCAACTAGGGGAAAACATAATTAAGGAGAACAAACTGCATCTCAGTAAGAGCTTTGTATCCTGGATGCTCTTCTCTTCCTAACCAGTTGGCAGAAGCCTTGAAGACAGAAACCCACATTCCTGGCACAAGTGCTCAGTATGGAGGAAGCATAATGAATCACATTATAAAAAAAAAAAGTAGGAAGGTTTTTAATTGTAGAAGCTTAAGGTAAACAACATGATTATATTTTTTCACTCAAGGTTTCAGCTTTATTTTGTTGTGTTTATATTTTCCTCATCTAATTTATGGACATGAGAGTATCACTTTTATTTCTTCATATATTTTAATGAAAATCTTTTAAAAATATATATTTATTTGATGTATAGTAATTACATATACTTATGAAGTACTGTGTGGTATTTCAATAAATGTGTACAATATATATTGACTAGATCAGAGTAATTGGCATTTTTTATCACCTCAGACATGTATCATTTCTTTGTGCTGTGAACATCAAATTACCTGTTTTAAAACATTCAATTAATTGTGTGAATCATAGTTATCCTACTCTGTTATAGAACATTAGGAGTTATGTTCTATAACATCTCTTAGCTAACTATGTCCTGTACCCATCAGCATAATGATTTTTGATACATCTATGCATGGTAAAATGTTTACTACAATAAATAATTTAACAGATTCATAATCTCAGTTATTTTGTTTTGTGAGAACACCTAAAATCTTTCCAAAATAGCTTCCATATGATACACCATTAGTAGTTGTAGTCTTTATGCTGTATATTAGTTCTCTAGATTTATTCATCCTCCATCACTGAAATTTGTACCCATTGAATTACCTGTCTCTATTGCAGGTTCCTCCCATCTCCAGTAGCCTCTGTTCTGTGTATTCAGCTTTTCCACTTAGATTCCACATATAAGAGTGATTACATGGATTTTTCCTTTCTTCATCTGACTTATTTTACTTTTCATAATGTCATGCTCATCCATGTTGCTTCAGACAATAGGATCTCCTTTTTAAAAGCTGAATAATAAATATTCCTCTGTGTGTGTGTGTGTGTGTGTGTGTGTGTGTATTCTAGAAAGTCACATGCATGCCCAGGGCTGGATACTACTGAGAGGAGACTTGAAAAGTCCCTAAACTCTTACCTTTGGTTGACCTTCAGGTAATGTTATGTATAATAGCCTAAAAGAGGAGACAGCCCAAATGGCCATCAACAGATGAATAAATAAAATCTGGTATATTCACACAATGAAATATTACTCAGTAATAAAAAGGAATA